ACCTAACCAAACCCAACATAAGAGTGACTACATACATACATACATACATCCGCAGCGGCAGCCTATATATAGCAGCGGTCCTCACTAGTGTTTTAGAAAGGGCCAAATGTAATTTTTGAAAATCTCTTGCTGGTCATTTGAATTTTTTTTTGTGTCATATTTATTTTGGTTCGTACAACTTGTAAAAAATATTTTTACCCAATTTTTACAATAAACACAATAAATAGAGGGATACATCATAAAAGGGGTTGGAATGCTTGATTGAAGAAACTATATATAATAATGATAATAATTGAAAATTTACAACTGTTCGCTGAATTTAGTGGACAGTAAAAAAAAAAAAAATTATAATACAATGAGACAGAATATTTTCTTAGGAAAAGTTCAACGTTTTGTGTGAACTTTGGATTTTAGATTTTAGAATGAACAATTTAATTTCATCGTGTGCAGCATAAAATTTTTTAAAGGCCCACGGACCATATAGTGGGGGATCACTGCTTATATAGCTAATAACCGGTGTTACCTTGGAAAAGAGATTATAAGATTATAAGTAGGGCTCGGATTTCAATGCATTTGCATCTTTTTTTGGGGATATCTTACGCGATGCTTTCCAAGCTACAAATATGTTTCAAGTACTTCGCAATCTAACCACAATAAATTTTTTGCTTTTTTGCATTTTTAGCGGATTTCATCATTTTTAGGGCATTTTTTGACGGTTTTAATGCATTTTTTACTACATTTTTGACCTATTTGTCGTATTATGACTAAAAAACTTGACCTCATTGAAATATAAGTACTACATAGTAATATAGGTAGTACTACGTAATAAAAATTATTTTCATTTAGAACTATTTTAACTAATTTAACATCAGGTTTTCCGGTTTTTACAACCTTTATGTCACACCATCCAATTAGCCGATATTATTGCATACAACTAAACTTTTATCGGATTATTTTCTTATCGAGTGATAATATTATATCGGTGGTGTGCGTTTAATAAATAATGCATTTTTTGATATTTTTAGGGCATTTTTTAGAGTTTTTAGGTCATAAATGCATTTTTTGAAAGGGCATTTTTTTGATATTTTTAGGGCATTTAAATCCGAGCCCTAATTATAAGCATATTATTATACTCCGTTCAGCGAGAGAACAATCCAAGCGCCGCCGACCAAAACTGCTGGTTCTCCACTCAACACCCCGCCGTAGGAGAATCGGTTTCGATAGCAGGGTGTCGGGATGGGTGGGGGGTCGTGAGGAATCGGGCTGTTGCCTCGCTATGGCTGTTGTATACTGCCGCCGCTGCTGCCATCGAAACTAAAGAAAAGTAGCATCTGTCTATGCATCCCTGGTACTTCGATCCCATATTCCGATCGTATAAAATGGTATTGGGATTGGCATAGCCTCGGATTTTAACTGTCCCCATCAAAGCAGACCAACAATATTATTATTATTATTATTATTGTTCAATTTGATACGAGCATGCCGCCGCCGTGGCGTCTCTAATGTGCCGTATACGTAAAACCGTCTTTATAATTTTGAACAGATGTAGCCCAATCAYACGATTTAAATAAGTAAGGTATTAATCGATCGATTATGATTTATAATAATTAAGAAATAATATAAAATTGAATATACGATAACAATTGACAGTAGTAGTTAGAACGAGTTGTAATATTATAAATTATAATGGTATATATTTCAGAACGAAGCAGGCCATTTTTTTAGATTCTGAACGAAGTAGTGATGAATGTATTGATTTTACAATGCGTGTTTTTTTTTTTTTTTTTTCTACGACTCTAAATTGAAATTAAACTACTTATA